GTCTTCTTCTCCAAAATAGACCCTAACCAAATTCTAGGCTTTGTCAAAAAATTGACTTGGCTAAAATAATGTCTCTTCCGCTCCCTTTTTCTCACTATTTCTCTCTCTACTCTTCCACTATATTTTTTCTTCTCTTTATAGGTATACCTATACATAAAGGATGATCACAATGGACATAGTTTCCGAGTGGACGGTTGTTATAACAGCCGTACATCCCTAACCTAACCTAACCTTGGAAAATCGTAGGTCCTCCTTCCCAAGTGACCTCTCTAACGTAAGTGTTAGACAACCTGTGCCCCTCAAATTTCAGGGTCCCGACTGTATTAGAACGGAGCCTTTTTGATACATGGGCTCCTCAAGAAGTTTTTCAGGCTAGTTGCCGAGTCCTTACCATGGTAAGAGGCTATGCCATGGCCGACCTCAAATCCTCACTAAATATTTCTTCTATGGAGCCGAATGAGCTTCCCATCGTGAAGATGGATGAAATATCAGAACCGCGAACTTGATAACGAATAAGGTAGAAGGAACTCCTTTAGAGGAACCTCAAATTCATCTGGAAGATGATATATTCCATGATATTGGAATTCTATAGAATTCCAACACCACGTGCGAAGTCCACCACGGTAGCTCCTCCAAAAGAGGAGAAGACTGTGAGTGGGCCGAGTACAACTTCGAGCCCTCAGCACTCCCAAGGGAGCGCTGAGAAATCCCTGACACCATCATCCACTGCAACTGTAGGTAGAGGAAGGTGAGCCCGTAAAAAGAAGGTAAAAAGAAAAGCTTATAAGACACAACATCCTTCTGTAAATCCGCCCACTGCCGAAATGTCGAAACCGAAATCCAAGGTTATGAATATTGGGCAGTTAATTGTGGATAAGGCAAAGAGAATGAGGTCTTCGGATGAGCAACAACCTGCTGCTAAGGGACCTACGCAGTCGTTTGATTCACGAAATACTGCTTCGTACGCGTTGGTATTGTGGATAGAGAATCCTGACAAGAGTGGTAAGGGCCAAATCCACCGTCTCCAAGCAGAAAACCCAAAAACCGAGTCTGCGGACTTCCCTAAGAAGACAGTTAACAGCTGTGACCCTCTTTTGTAAGCTGATAGACGTTGCGGTCCACGAGATACCAAACCAGATGGTTACGGGTTGGTGGAAAAGCAGAACGATGGACTTCAGACAAGGAAGTGGAGAATCCTCACCACATTTGAAAGGAACGGGGTATTGTCGCAAAGTTCGCGACAATTCCGCCTCCCGCCAGTAAAACAAGAAACAGGCAGCAGCAGGCGCTATGCATGGTGCATATAAATCTGCTCACGGTAAAGCAGCCACTGAACTGCTTCTCATTCTCCTCTCTTCCTCAAACACCGACAACGCGCTCATCCAACAACCATATATTTACAAAAAGATAAGGAGACTGGTTTAAGCGACAAAAATACACGGGATTGACCTCCTCTACGGGAGTGAAGATAAGCTTAAAAAACTAAATTTAATTCTTCATTAAAATTTCAACAGAGTGTTCAACTCAAACCAAACTTTCCATAACCTAATATTTTAACCATACTTGTATATTGTTAGAAAGTGGGACTTATCGGTCCATTACCTCTAGTACCTAGTATAAAACGAACGGAATATCCAAATTTCTACTTTATAAAGAAGGTAATCGCATTAATTTTAACCTGCTGATAAAAGATGGCAACACAGTAGTTTTGTAAACTCTCAGTGCAAAAAATAAAAAACGGTTCTGCACGGCATCGATTTTATCAGAATACATTGCATATTGGGGATCCCATACAACAGAACCGTATTCTAATATAGGTCTAACAAGATACGTAAATAGTTGTGATTCGTTATATATGGATCCGAGAATTCTTTGGCCCACCGTTTTATAAATCCTAAAACACTATAGGCTTTATTTACCATAGATATAACATGATTGTTAAATTTTATTTATGGATCCATTAAAATAACAAGATCACAGTTGATAAAACCGAACCATTACTATAGTATTGTCTTATCAAAGAAGAATTTCTAGAAAAACACATATGTTTACATTTGTTATAATTCAAGTCCATACAATTTAAGCTGCATCATTGAAATAAGCTATTTAAATCATGAAAATTAATCGATTTTAAAAGACATCCATCAAACAAAACCAGATGTGTCCTTTTTTGAAAGTAAGATTTGGATATCATCTTTTTATATACTATACTAAAGCCAATATAAATTAATTTATAAAGTAAAAGTTCAGGGTTAACCACGAACTTTTACAAAATCATACAAAATCATTTGAATTAAACTTTGCAAAACCCAATATTTTAATTTATTGGTCCATTCCTTCTAGTACCTCCCCCACAAAGAATCAACATTTTGAAAACTTGTAAATCTCATATGGAACGAACGGAATATCCAATTTTATCGAAACTCGGCACATCGTAATGTTTTTACCTTACATAGATCAAGCTGGCGGGCCACGTTGGTCCTCTCCTTCTGGTACCTCCCCCCCAAAGGGGTCATCATTTTGAAAATGTGTTAATTCAATATCAATATCAAGATACTGGAATGTCTAATTTGATCCAAATTTTGCAAATCGTAATATTTTTCCAATCCTACAAAAAGGTTGTACTCTGTATAACAATCTCACACTAAAAGGAAACAAATGTTTCATTGCATTCTTTGTTCGGCGATGAACACAAAAAAAACGTGATAATACCAACCTTTTTGTTTTGGTGGTTTAATTTGCTTGTCATTTGATCGTAGTTCAGTTAACATTAATATGTCTGCAAGAAAGATTATATCTTTAAGAGAAAAAATATAAAGAAAATCATTTTACACACTCAATTTAATTATGCACAGTCGACTATATCGACTATTGTAAAGTCTGGTAAAAATATTACTCAAAATAACGAGATTGTCCAAAATAAAGAACCGGTATAAGATACTCGAAAGTAAATCATTCAGATGCCATACCACATTTCGAAGCATGTGTAAAATGGCGCGATCAAAATAATAGTGAAATCAAAAAAAAACTATTGTTTTCAATGAAATAACTTCTGAAATTTATATTTTTAATATTTGCAAATAATAATTTAAAATATACATCTTTTCTACAGTTTTAAGTGAAAAAATATGTCACTCGGTATAACGACATTTTCGATTTAACGATGAGGGCTGAAAATATATAAATCGTTTTATCAAGATTCTACTATACGAATAATAAAACCATACGCTGAGGGTATATATCTGTCGGCAACACCGACTATTTCGAGCATTTACATTTAAAAATGTTTAGGAATTATAAATGTATAAACAGATTCTTGACATACTTTATAGTTAATTGAAATTAGACACTAAAGAACTAAGTAATAAAACATAACACTATATTCAAATAGGTATTTTTTGAAAAATATTTTTATCTTTAGTTTTAATAGGAATATTCAAATATTTTTCAAAACAGGTCCTTACAACCGATATGTCGTTAGTTTTTGTGTGAGGTATAAAGGGCGAAATTCGGGTCGTTGTAATTGTTCAAATGTGCATAGCTATAAGCAGTTAGTTATCACGATAAATTCTTTACCAAACGAGAATTCGCCATACGAATGTTCGCACACACATAACAAACGCGTGAGAGCACACAACAACGATTGTTCGTTTCGTTTGACATTCGCTCATGAATGAAAACGAGCATTCGCGAATGCTCAAAACAGCAACAAAAGTATGTGAACGCAATAGTTGTTGGACATGTGTTTTGTTTTTCCACAAATGCTCAACACTTTGTGCTCACATATTCATTCGCTGTGTGCGTTTACTCTTTTATGATATTTTTGATTGTTTCTGTTTTTAACATTGTGCGCCAAAAATATTATTTTCCAATCAATATCTTTAATCATATCATACATATTTTTAATCAAATTCATAACCATATTGACTAAGTGAATTCCAAAAAATTAAAAGAAAATACAAGGCTTCGAGTCGAACTTTGTTTGCTCATATCTCCGGAAATACTGATATCCACAAGGTAAAATGACATCTTAAACAAGGCCCCAAGCACTGCATATGGTACAAATTTCAAAACGATCCGGGCCTTAAACTAGACTTAAGACTAATTCAGTGATAACTACTTTTCTTATAGTATTTTTTTCTATACTATCTTATGATCCAGCATTGAATGATGAGGGAAATTTGCATTATGTTGTTTTTATTAAATTTATTATATAAATATTTTCTAAAATGGTGTTATACATGTTTCCTCTCATTTTGAAGATAAATTCTATCTGCATGGGGTTTTTCAAAAAAAAAAAAAAAAATCATGCAAAGAAGGGTTAGCAGAATACCGGCCACCGGCCGTGAATTAAAGTCCTTCTCCTGTGGACAGGTGGAAAATTGGGATACACGAGCAGAATATCTTCTTTTATGTTTTAGTCAACTTCTTAACTGAATTCTTTAATATGTAGCCGGTCTTCGGCAACGACTTAAAACTTTAATACCTATGGGTAGATTCCCATCCTATCAACGTCCGCGATATATAGCATTTTTCTATGGACAGATGAAAATTTAGCTACGTCCAAAACTCGATTTATGAGATCTATATAAGTTACACAGTAATTCCCATGTCGAATGAAAATTACCATGTAAGAATGTACACTATTTAGAAAATATCTCGTGAGGTTCACATTACACAAAAATAATACTTGATATGAACGTACAAACGCTATAGGTATGTTTTATTTACTTACATTGCATTGAATTTAATAAGCATATACAAAGTTTAAAACTTTTATAAACTTCAAAAAATCTAATTTAAACTATTTATTTTAAAGCTGCTTCTTAATAAGATCAACTTCTTTATATCAACGTGCCTTACTTGCAATTTGACCTCACAGAACTACTAGTGCAAAGCCAAGGTTTATATACATATATATACATTACTACCACCTAACGATAAGGAATACATTTGCAAAATCGCGCTTTATACCAAGTCGAATATTAAAATATACATACATTTCTGTATTTCACAATATCTCGGTACCTTTTTCTATCGAGTTCCATCTATTTAATTTTTTATTTTAACATGCGGGATATTTACAACGCTCTTTCGATTTAACTAAAAAATTGTATTTCTTGGTGCAACACGGATTCGACTGAAAACTTGTTTTTCAAAGAATCCACAGTTGCCAAATCAATACATCTAAAACAGGGTGAATCTAACAAATTGAACATTGGGTAATACTTCGAGTGTGACGGAAGCGAAGACAAATGTTATATCATGTTGACACAAAACAAAAAACTTATTTCGCAAACTTTCAACAATGGTACATGTAAAGTTTAGGTATTTGTTTACATGCAATATAAAAACAAATATAAAACACGACTTACGTAATAGCATGTTTACACTGTTCCGGATTTAGTTAACCCAGTGGGTTAAAGTGTCAATTCCATTTGATAGTTGTCAAATAAATCCTCATAAAGTAGGTTAACCCTGCCAAAAGTTCTAATAGTACGTTTACATTGTACTGGATTTAGTTAACCTAGTGGGTTTAAATTGCCAATTCCATTGAATATTGGTCTGTTCCCGTAGTGCAAGAATCTACTAGATTTTAATACTTTTTTCGATATCATAAAGGAAAATTCGTTATCGTAGTAAAAAGTAGTAGATTCTTGCAGTACGGGAACAGACCATATATGTCAAATAAATCCTCAGTTGGTTAACCCGGTAAAAAAGTTCTAATGTACATGACGTTTTATGTACATATCGTTTACAGTACGTTTACATTTAACCGGATTTCGTTAACCCAGTGGGTTTCAATTGTCATTTCCTTTGCATATATGTCAAATAAATCCTCATAAAGTAGGTTAACCCGGTAAAAAGTTCTAATGTACAAGGAGTTTTAAACCTGTTAGAGTGGTAGGATCGAGAGACCACTCCAGTGTAATAAATTCCATTCGATATCATCCAAAGACAGTACAAAAGAAACCGCTGTTGGAAAAAGACAAACATTTGATCAATGTCCCACCTATCCATAGGAGAAAGTCTTAGCCGATGGCCGGCTACTCAGAAAAAATTTGTTGTTCTGGAGAATTTCATACTTCCGAAAATATGGGTATCAAAATTTAAATTGATACCGGGAGTTTAACTTTCACCTATGAACAGATGGAAAATTGGGTTACGCGAGCAGAATTCACTTTTAATTTGAAATTCTTATTGAGTAGCCGGTCTTCGGCCGGTTATTTAAGACTTTCTGCTATGGACAGGTGGAACATTGAGCTACGCGAGCAGAATCTTCTTTATGACACCCTACACAACTTCTTAGAAAATCTAACTTTCTGTGGTTCTATATTTTGATCTTGGGCAATATATGCACTCTCTTGACAGGGGGCTGTGTTCAATTGTGTCCTATAGATCGACTCGAAAAAAACACAAAAAAATAAGTTTTCGGTCCACTTTATCCCAATATTATTATCTGATCATCACCGAAAATTATGGGCGTTGTCCTTGACCATACCTGGATCCTCATGGAAAATTTCAAAGTGATTAGCGCTATATTTCCGCCCTCTAGTGTGTTAATGCGTTACTGAATAATATCTGAGTGCGTAAGCACCTGTATATATTTACGTGTAACTCCCACATCCAAGTACATACGACAACGTAATTGATATCAATTCGAAGGCCAACCGCTCCTCATGGATATGTTGTAAACTTCTTGAGTCTATGCCATTCAGGGGTAAATATATACGCTATAGAATACAAATTTTGTAATTTTTCATACAAAAATCGGGGTCCATTTTTTACGAACGTTCCCACGCCTCACTTTCTCATCCTTGCCGACCGAGGGGGCGACCTCCCCTTTCGTAGGGATCGCGTACACACCATAATCCGCATCATGGTGGAATATGAGAAGGGAATAGAAAACCAGCTACAGAATCGACTCCAACAGCCACTTTATTATTAAGTTGCACTACTCATTTAAAAATACAATTATATTAGATTTTATAAGTCCAACATTCTTGATAAAATGTACATTAGAGTACACAGAATTAAAATCAATACAAATTTTACTGAGTGGATCTCCCATAGAATAATTTGTGCGATGAAAATCTACATATAATAGTTGATAATATCTACTAGATCGAAAAGGAACATTTATTATATATATGAAATTAGGAAATCAGAGGGTATATTACCATTTAATATTTTTATTACCATCATAGTGTTCAACATAATACGTCTACTTTTTAATGTAGGTAACCGAATTAATTTTAACCTGCTAGTGCAAGAAGGCAACACAAAATCACTATTCCAATGTAAACCTCTCAGGCAAAAAGTTAGAATTGTTTCTGCACTGATTCGATTTTATAGGAATATATTGCATATTGAGGATCCCATACAACAGAACCATATTCTAATATAGGTCTAACAAGAGACGTGTATAGTTGTTTTGTTATATAAGGATCCGAGAATTCTTTGGCCCACCGTTTTATAAAACTTAATACACCATAGGCTTTATTTACCATAGAAATAACATGATTGTTAAAGTTTAACTTTGGATCCATTAAAATACCAAGATCCACGAATGTTTCAACTGTCGATAAAACCGAACCGTTAATATTGTATTGCCTCATCAATGAAGAATTTCTAGAAAAACACATATGTTTACATTTGTTCAAATTTAAATCCATACAATTTAATCTGCACCATTGAAAAAGGTTATTTAAATCATTTTGGAGTAAATTGGCTTGTTTCTCAGAACTATGGGTAATGAATAACTTGACATCATCTGCATACATTAACAATTTAGAATGTACTACATAAGTTGGCAAATCATTTATAAACAATAGAAAAAGATCCGGCCCGAGTTGATTTCCTTGTGGAACACCTGAAGGTACGTTAATCGATTTTGAGAGACATCCTTCAAACAAAACTACCTGTGATCTATTTTGTAAGTAAGATGATATCCATTTGATTAAGTTTATACTGAAACCCATATTATCTACTTTACTAAGAGTTCATGGTTAACCCTATCAAAAGCTTTACTAAAATTTGTATAAATGGTATCAGTCTGATTTCGCTGAACTAATCCATTTATTACAATTGAAGTAAACTCTATAAGATTTGTTTTGTGAGAAATAACAGCAGTAATTGATTTTTCAAACAATTTTGGGATATCACTTAATATTGCAATTCCTCTGTAGTTTGAGACGTTTGATAGACGACCAGACTTGTGTAACGGTACTATAAAAGATTTCTTCCATATAGTGGGAAAATAACCAAAATTAAAGGAATGATTAAATAGCAACGTAAGAGGCGTTGCTAAAGTGTCAGAACAATATTTGAGAATTGTGCTAGGTATACCATCTGGACCTGGAAGTTTAATTGGTTTTAGAGTACGTAAATTTTTAGCAACATATTGACTTTGTAAAAAAAAGCATATATATTTGATCTATTTAGATAGCTAATAAGGATATGAGCTTATATTTGGACAAACTGCAAATGAATAAGTAGAGGCGAAGAAATTTGCAAAACATTCTGTTATTTCAGAGTTTTTAACAAACTCCTTATTGTTGCATTTCAAATTGGGGGTTTTGAGGAGACTTTTCTTTTTAAGTTAACAAACTCATAAAATGACTTCGGATTAGTTTTAAAATTATTTTTGACCTTGTTGAGGTAATTATTATACAATCTACGGGACTCTATGGTATATTTGAACCTAGCAACAGAATAATTAGCGTAGTCTATAGATGAGCCTGACTTCTTATATTTTCGAAAAAGTTTATTTTTTAAATTTTTTATGCTTGATAACTAACGCGAAATCCATTAATATCTGTCAGAATTTCGAATTCTAACAGTTGGAACACATTCAGAAATAAATTTATTTAGAATATTATAAAATTTATCTATCTATCTATTTGATCCGCTAAATATTGACCGATCTTTGTCAAAACAGACATGCTTATTCTTTAGCCCGATCCCGTTCTCCATGTAAAATTTCGCGATGTTCGGGCCATAATGCGACCTCTGGAGCGAACAGAAAACCGGACAAAAATTAAGTATTTGGTCCATTTCATCCCCTAAGTATTAACCGATCTTTATCAAAAACAATATGGGTCTTCAATGGCCAGAACCCGTGCCAAATTTCGTGAAGATTGGTCCATAACTGTGGCCTGTATCGTGTTTACAAATTATAATGGACAGACGGACACACATGTCTAGATCGACTCAACTAGTCGAGATATAACGATGGGTATACTTAAAGGTGGGTCTAGGACCAATATTTCGCGGCGTTACAAACTCTTGGGGCTGCACAAAGCTATAATACCCTGACAACAAAGTTGTGTAGGGTATAATTATTACAACGTAGGGCACAGCTACCAACTGATTACAATTTTTTCTCAATGTGGTTTGTTCCATCAAAACAAAATACATATTTTGTGTATGTGTGCGTATTGTTTTGAATACAATGTCAAATAAATTCAAAATAAATTAAAATATATTCAAGTTTAATTGAAATGAAAATAAAGTTTTTAACACGTTCGTCTGGAAGTAATTTCATGGTTATGGATGAAACAAACATTTTATGGTATTCCCTACTGGATTTTGGGAAAAAACCATAACCTTTCATTCATTTTTCGCGTTTTTAGGTTTGTGTTGAAAACATGTCAAAAGAACACAAACATTTGTTGCGTATATTTATTTTATTTTTTGTAGAAGAGGCCACACGTGCATAGTTGCTTTTTGTTATTCACCTCAAGCTGCCCTGACTTGTATTATTGTACCATGGTAATAACCATCCAAAAAAATCGTTTGTAACAAAAACTTTTATCTTTCTATACTTCTCACTGTGAGGCTGCAATTGCTTTTGTTTAACAATCATTACTTTTTTTATTGAATTCCCATAAATATTGTTTTTTTACTCCATTATTTTAAGTTACGATGTTAATGTTCACATATAAAAAAAAAAATAAAGTTTAATTCATTGATTAACATGCGCTTATGGCATTCACACGTGCATAGTTGCTTTTTGTTATTCACCTCAAGCTGCCCTAACTTGTATTATTGTACCATGGTAATAACCATCCAAAAAAATCGTTTGTAACAAAAACTTTTATCTT